CAGTTTGGTTGTTGACTGATGATGAATCTATAGTATAGACTTGCATTGAGCTTATTAAACCACCGTTTTAAGGCAGCTAAACGGGCTTGGTTTATATTAACACATAAAATAAATTCCTTGATTCTCATCACTAGACACAGTCTACACTTTGAAATGTCGAAGACAGTGGGAGATTTATTTTTATATTTTATATTTATATAATTTATATATCAATAGTTCGTATCTCCACGAACAATGACAGAATGACTGAGTTTCTTTAAAATACAATGAAATTTCACTCAAAATTCTGTTTGTTTCAAATTGGAAGTTTAAAATGGCAATAAAAACTCTATATAAAATATGAAAAAATTAACTGTCTTGAATTATTTTGTCGGGCGGTACATTTATATTGTATAACGAAATATAAAACGTCAGTTTCATGAGGATTTTAAAATTCAGTCGGGCGGTGATGAGAATCAAGGAATTTATTTTATGTTGGGCAGTTGGGACTTGGGAGCAGCTTGGGAGTGGCTAATTTTGAATATTTACTTAATTAATGCATCTATAAATAGCGTTGATGCTTCAGGGGCGGTAGTTCATATACATCCAGTTTTGCGGCAGGCGGTATTTCCTACGTACCGCCTGCCATGCAGGCTACCATAAGCGCGAGGCCCGCGGCATATGCCGCATCTGCCACGTGGTTAATACGGCCCTGGCAAATAGTATACAGCAGGATTCATAGCTGATTATAATTTTGCTTCCATCGCATGTGAGGAGAGAACTTGGAATTTGACTGTACCAAACACTGCACTTTCCTTTAGAAATAAGCTAACACTGGACCAATGAATCTCAGAGAAACTACAACTGACAGTGTCAGTGGATTTAGAACTGATACTAGTTAGTCTAGATACTAGTAAAACTTGGTTTAAATTGGATGCAAAACACGATTATATTTTACCATTTTAGTTTTATTGAAACGATCAGTGGAAAGTTAAGATGCTTGTACCTGTCATGCTGTAGATTTGTTGACCAAAGTGCTTTGATATTGATTACGAAAGTCTGCCCTCAACTCGAAGGTATAGTCACTGGAACTGTTTGTATTTATGTGACAGGGTTTGGAATACATACATCCTTAATTCCTATAATGATTGTCAAAATTTTTGTTTTTAGAATTAGATTTATCGTCTTGTATTGACATCCCAAGTGAAACATTTGACGAACTTGCAAAACTAACGAGTTTAAAAAGATTAAATCTCCACAGAACACAGATAACCGAAAATAATTTTGAGAAAATTGCCAGGTAATTTCAACTGTTAACTATCCTGGTTCCAGAGGTTTCGATAATAAATATAAACTTCTGGAACCAGGGTAACTGTTAACGAATCATGTTGACAATAATTGTGAGATCAAAAATGCCTCCACCAATGGCATCAAATGCAGCAGCTACTGTATATACTGTATAATTTATTCAAATCATCGTACGGGTCACCAGACTCACCACAAACGACGTTTTGCATCGCTTTATATTCGTTTATTGGTATGTTTAATAGTTTGTTAGTCGGTTACTTTGTTTGGAGACATAATAGCCTTGTTATTTATTAAAAAATAGTATGTCTTGTGGTGCACTTGTTTTGCGCATGCATCAGGACACTGATTATAATATAACAATGAAAGCATGAATTTTCTAAAGAACGGGTCGAATCACATCACATATACAATGATCGCCTCTGCCAATGCCATGCAGCCAATCCCAAAACACTATTTTTAAGTTGGTATTTATATCCAAACTACTTCAAATGTCAGTAACTTAATTTAACAATAATTATATTATTATGTGAATCACTGTGATAGTAATTTTAACATTTTCATTCCATTTACTTTGTTTTGTACGTATGCTCGTATAGGTCTTGTACAGAATTAATGCATGTTAATCTGGGAGGATGTTTTCAATTCAGGAATTTCGATGAAGCAATGAAATACCTGGAATATTGTCCGTATGTTGTTTTCTTTTTTATTCTTTAAGTGAGGGTCCTGACGGGTGGTGGTTAAATCCCATTATTTTTAAATCCAGCCATTTTCACACTATATCCCAACTATCCCAACCGGTGAAATTAAAAGAAAATCCCTGATTAGGTGGTTTAATAATCTATACGTGTTAATTTAACTTTTAGAACTAGTTTTGTCATGTAAAAGGGTTAGATAGACCTACTAGTAAATGCAATACATTTAACAAAACGAGACAAGCCCGCTGCGTATAAGAAAATCACTGACTCACAGAAAAATTATCTTATCATGCAGTTTTCTTGGAATTGGTTTGGCAAATTCTCTATCAAGTCGCTCCTGTAGCTTTTCTTAAAGCCGTTATTTCAAGGGGTTTTATATCCCCATTTTGTGTATGTGATTCCCAGTCCCAGCAAGACAAATCCCGTTTTCTCAGTCCAGTCTTCCAAAAGCTAGCTATTTATGCATGAAATAGTGGTTGGTTCTTAGCAACTGGAGTCTGCATGAAACTTAGTGGTTAGAGTGCTGCATCGGTTTAACAATTCCAATTAGGGAACAAGAGCGACCAAATTTTGAGTTTGTTTCAGTCTTGAAAAATAGTTCTACCTTTTAGTCATACAGAAACGAGGGCGATTTGCAGTACTTTAATGGCTGAATAAGTATTAATTGGCTGAATAAGTATTATAATCTAAATGGCTGAATAAGTATTAATTTTATTTCAACTATGAAATCTTTTGTTGTTCATATTTGATTTTTACACAGAAATCTTGTATCGCTAGACTTATGGAGAGCAAAATCTCTAACTCAAAATGGAATCAGCAGTATTTATCAAAATTGTCCCAATCTCGAAGAAATAGATCTTGGCTGGTGGTAAGAGAATTTATAAAATAACATGTATATAACGCGTGTTCTGATTGGTCAAAAGCCGTGTTTGGATCAGGCCATCCAAACACGGAAGACTATCGTGTTGTTGTTATTTTATAAAACAATTACTTTATGGTTTCCGTGTTTGGATGGACTGATCCAAACACTTGGGAATGTTGCTCGAGTTAAGAAAAGCTCGCTTTTCTTACCTCTCGCAACATTCCCGCGTGTTTGGATCAGGCCATCCAAACACGGAAACCATAAAGTAATTGTATAATACTATTAGACAGTGCATGTATACATGATGTGATGTTAAATATATAAAATATTATAGTAACCACTGGTGTTTAATCCACGGAGTTACACCACTGATCTGTGAAGGGAATGTTCATGATAAATCTTTTACTGGGTTTTTTTTTCAGTAATAATGTTGCAACACATAGTTCCTTGCGTCTCTTGGTTACTCACTGTCAGAAGATGAAGAAGATTTTCTTGACAGCTTTAAGGTAATGCCAAACTTTATGCATTAAGCTCGTCCATTTCCTGGAGAAGGACTTATTTTATTGTCCCCGAAATTTGAAGTTTGCATTATAATGACTGCGAACTGCATGACGACAGCGAAATAAACATTTCTTGCAATATATTTCATTTTTGCAAGATGTTGTAAATTTAAAAACCTTTTTGAGAAAAAAAGACCAAAAACGTCTAAAAGAAGGGAGCAAACACGCCGATGTTAATGAATCACCTTGCATAATTTACTAATGATCGAGAGCGAGGCTCCAAGACCAAAAAGTATGTGTTACGTAATTATCGAAAAGGTGTATTTCAGTGTATTTTCATTAATTAGGGAAAGTACATTTATTATGCCGAGGGGGGGG